CATATATATATATATATGATATATGTTATATATATATATATATACATGACATATCAGCTCTTGAGCTCCGTACACGGGAGTGGCGCTCAGCATCCCGGTGGCGGCAGCCGCGGCCCCCGCTGCACCGGTGGCCTGGCCGAAGGCGGCGGCCAGGAACACGCGCATGGCCTCGGGAACATAGTAGATATATAAGTTATGTAAGTTATATAAGTTATACAAGTTGTATAAGTTATATAAGTTGTATAAGTTATATAAGTTATATATGATACATAGTTGGGAACATTTCATAGAAATATATATTCTTCTGTTTAGATGTACATATCTATATGATTTACAGAACAGAATAGAATAGAACATAACAGAACCTAATAGAATAGAACATAACAGAAGATAATAGAAGGGAATATCATGGAACATGCACAACAGCTTGCATATGAAATAAAAGAATGTAGAATATAAACCCCTGGCACTGCCACTTGGCCACTCTGCTAGTCCTGGATCCGCTTCGCCTAGGCCCCCTGCTGCGCGCTTCATTGCGATGGACTTCGGCTTTAAAACCTCAGGGCCTTTGCCTGGCTCAAGCCGAAGTGTCTGCACGAACCTGCGGGTTCATTCCTGAAGGTTTCGGTTGTAGGGCAGTGCAGATGTATGAAACTTCGGACATCAGAAGCCTTTTGCCAACGGAGAAAGCATCACTCTTGTGTGAAACTGGGGCTCACCAGCACACCGCACAAGAACAGATACATACTCAGCTACTGCTTCCTCCACACCTCCAAGTGCCGAGTGAGCCAAGTGAAACATTCGTGAATGTATCACTGAAAGACACCGGCCACCACCTGCCCGCAGCAGCTGTTGGTAAGGGTCCTGTCTCTGCCTTGGCGGCACCTTGCCAACCGTGTACACGAAGAAGCCCAGAATGGCAGGCAGAAGTGCTGGCTGCAAGTGCAGCTCGGCGATTTCCGGGACCTCCAGGAAGCACTCACACATGACAGGCCGACAGCCACAACCAAGCCGGGCTTTCCTGCGCTTCTATCCGTGGCCACCCCTGCACGACGAGGAGGACGATGACCGGAGTCTGAGCAACAGCGCACGCGTCGCACTACGTCGCACTGCTCCAGGGCACCTGCGCCCACCGCCTCTCGCACCTTTTGCTCTGCCCGCTGCCATCTGTTGCGAACGCGTCGGCATCTACTCTAGCTCGAAGTCTGCATACAGTGGCAGGTGGTCCGACGGATGTTCCTGGAAGGCTGCAGCATCTCTGGAATCCAAGAACCACGCAAGCTGCTTGCAAATGACGACAGCATCCCCAGCAACAAGCGCAGGATACACAGGATGACAATCTTTTGGGATCAGCTGCTGGTCATTGCAATTCGCGCTTTTCTTGAAAAGCTTGAGCAGACCGTCTGGGCCGGAGGCGTGGCCGCTTACAGGTTTGATTTCTTTCAGCCATCCCACACCCCCAACCAGAAGACCGCGGCCATCTCATGCGCTGTCACTTCATCTCATGTCATCTCGTTTCACCGCGCATTTAACCTGTGCATGATGCTCCAGCACTGATATTCGGCTACTGCACGTCGGCGCCACTTTCGCTTTGTCGAACTGTTCTAGTCCTTGGGATTGGAAGCTTCTTGTTCAGGGTGAGAGTGTGTGTTGGCGGTCGGCGGTCACGCATGCATAGTCGTCAAAAAACATCAACGAAGGTTGCGGCAAGACACGCTGTCTGTTGGCACCGCAGACTTGCAGTGTACGTGCCATGTGATAGCAGGCTTCTGCCTGTCCGTTTTGAGGTGCTGCGGGCTGAGGTCGCCAGTCGCACAGGTGACAGAGGGGAGGTGCTGGAGGTGGTGGAGGTGTTGGAGGTCAATCATGCATACATTTAGCAAACAATCCGACGGAACCCAGTCCTCTGATGGCAGCTGTTCGGGCAACTGCTCCGGCAAAGGACGCACGCCACGCAACTGCAGACCTGTACCTGGAGGCATGAACCATCGCGAAGCCGCAATAACATCATGGGCGAAAGCGATGTGATCACAAGAGGAGAACGGCACCTCGGTAAAGGATGTAGTCGAGGCAGCCCTGAAAATCCTTTGTCAGGTTCGTGACCGCCTGCTCGCAGCCTCAGAGGAAGCGCAGCCGAAGACCACTGCATTGCAGTAGACGGAAGTTGGTCATAGCTGGTGCCCATGCAGTTTAGGAACATGCCACACCACCGTCAAAGCCAAAGTGCGACCATAGTCTGAACAACCCTCAGATGAAGATCAGCAGCCAAGGGCTTCTTTGTAGGCGCTGTGAAAGGGTGATACTCGAAGATCTGGCACGTCCTGCTCACATCGAAGGCATCCAGATCTCAATCTTGACGCTTGCACGGCTCCTTCGTGCCGACGCCGCGAAGGATTCCGCTCCCAGGTCTCATCCGCACTGGATGATGTGGATGCAAAGCAGACACTCTGCCTCCGATTCTCACAACAAATACCAAGGGCGGTACGGAAGGAAAACTTGAAAAACGGCGGGCCCCGGCCTGTCACAAGGAGCTCGTAGACGCCTGAGAGGTCTCCCTCGCCCGAGCTGCGCCCATCTGCCAAAGGAGTGCCTCGGCTCATCCTGAGGATTCCCCATATGGATTCCCATCACATCGGTCGAGCTTATTAGCATAATATAGCATAATATAGTATAATATGGTATAGCATAGTATAATATATACCGTTCCAGCAGAGTCTCTGTTCAGATCTCCGGCCAGGATGAGCTCCGTGGCCGCCACTGTTTCGAGCTCACGCGCCAGGAGGAATGCCTCAGCTGTCGAACCACCACAGCCTGCTTTCTATGAACGAAGAAAGCCAGGGCCTGTGTTACAGCAAGGACCTTGGGTGCAACAAGCCCTCCTGATCTCTCGAGACCAAGTTCCGTAGAGCCTATCCGTCTATCCGAAGTTGGGAAGCCGCTCCGTCTTTTCGGGCTCAGACTGTTCAAACTCGACCCCGAAGCTTTCCTTACATCGGGGCGGAGGTTTGTCTCACCGTTCACAAATGCTTCCATGGAGCTTGCAGCAGCTTCAAGTCTGGATACCGCGGGTCCCAGTACAGGTGACTGGTTGAGATCTCAGCGGCACGGGAGCCAAAAGGCAAGACAGGGACCGACGCCAAGTCTCGATGCGAAATGCAGGCCGGGCGGCGCAGAGCTTCCTGACAGGCGCAAACAGCGTAGATTTTATTGCCCTCCCTGGCATTACTTCTCGGTGCCTTCCGGAGGTCTCGTCGGCAATTTCGACGGCCTCGGCACAATCTCCCAATGGGCAGAAGCGAGAAGAATGCTGAGAACCCCCTGAGGCCAGAACGACCGCTACGCTCAGCTTCTCGTGCAGCTCACGCCACAAGGCCTAAAAATCCCCCAAGGATCTTTCAGAGAGACACAGACCAAGAGAAGCCTTGCACAAACAGAAAAGGATGAGCCGAGCTGCAGCTGCAAGGCCGGCGGTGCCACGGATGTCCAGGGAAGCTGGGAAATGCCTCGGAAAGCAAAACGACTCCCAGGGATTGGCTGCAAGTAGCGGGCTGCGGAGAGCGGGCATGGGACGGGGAGGCCTCTCAACTGCATCCCGAATCCGGAAGGAATGGGTCTTTGTCACCACCAGATCCGAGCGAAGGAAGATGGCACAGCCGTCCTGCAGAGACCGGGGCTCTGAAGGCTGAGACCCGGAACTTGCAATTCTCAAGGCTCCTTTGGTGGCAGATCCTCGTTCTGCAAAATCACGGCCTCTGGCTCAGTTCCGCTTCTGCTGAATGCACTTCATCACAAAAAGCGCCACCAGGATGCACAGCGGTAGCCCTGCAGGTACCTTTCAAAGGTCTCCTTCGCTGCAGGGTCGAACTCCTGAGCACGGGAGGCAGAGGAGAAAAGTCCCTCGGACTCGGACGTCCGAGTCGGAACACGAAACTGACACCTGCAAGCAGGCGATGTCCGGTGCCAGTCGTGAGACCAGCTCTGCAGCTCTCTGCAGACCTCAACGAACCGTCTCTTGGTGCCGAAACCGCCCCGCTTCAGCTTCTCAGACCGAGGGACGATCGGCCCAGAAGCCCTGCGCAGGAGGAGACTGTCTGCTCCGAAGCCTCCGACAGTTAGCAAAGGTGTACCAGCACTGGTCACTCGTGTGATTGCGAGATCCGAGATGGGGGGTGCCCGGGCACCCGAGCCTCTTGGCTGCAGCGCTGTGCAAAACGTTGTAGCTGAGCACCGAAAACCGCATGGCATGGGAGGCCGCATTTCCTTCATGCTCTACAGAGAGATGTGCGATGCGCAAAAGGGGGTCAGACTGCTCATGCGCAGTTGGGTAATCAGGGCATCAGATGCACGTTGTCCATGCTCCTGGTCCGAGTCCAGTGAAGGCTTTCTTTGCAAGGAGGGGTCATCTCCCGAAGACCCGATTAATATCCGCTGCCCACTCTCAAAGTGCAACTGTCTACTTCAAGCGGCTGCAGCATCGACATGGTGACAACCATGTGAGAACATGAAACATTCTCCTTCTGCTTCTAGCCTTGGGGCTCAGGAACAGAGTCCAGCCCCTAAGAGCTTCAGGAAGTTCAGACAGTGAAGGGCCTAGCTTAAAAAACATATTAAGTATGTGTATAATATAGTATATATATATATCTATCTATCTATCTATCTATCTATCTATCTATTATTTATTTACTTATATCACGAATACTTCCGAACTATCACAAGCCCTAGGGTCCGGCATTAGCCATTTATTGGGAGGGACTGCTTATTCACTCGGTGTATATATATATATATACACCATATGCGACATAGTTGACTCGCGGCTGCATGCACAGGCGGTCTTGACAGGAGCCTCTAGCACTGTGGCTTACAATTTCGGTTCGGGATCCGGGATGGGCCATTTGGAAGAGAAAGGCCCCGAGTTATGCCAGGCTATTTGGCGACCTCCCCGCGCACTGGGATAGTTTTCTAAATTAGGGGTCCCTTTTAGGGTCCATATTATAAGGGTGCCGTACTACATTGGGGACCCAAAAAGGGACCCTAATTTAGAGAACTACCCCACTGACAAGTCCGAAGGGTTTCTATGCGCCGCACGAGCAGCCGCCTCGCACCCAAAGCGGAGCCTGGCCATCTCTCTCGATCACTGGCGATGTGCTTCCAAATGATCAATGCGGCCGCGCTGCCCATTGGGTTCTCGGCATTGTCCGTATAGGACGCCAGCCCCTTCAAGGTAGCAGTTGGTCACTTCGAAGGTTTGCACTCAAACCCCGATCCGGGACCGCCGCTGAGAGATAGAGGAGCCCGCCAATGGCCCCGAGGCCTTGCAGGGGGTCCCAGCCAACAAAAAGAAACCATCCGTTTTTGAAAGCAGCCCAGGGCCCTCACCGAAGCTGAAAGCAATGCTCACACCATACCTTCAATATGCAAGGGCCAGAAGAGAAGGGATTGTGCCAGGACTATGCGAAGGACTCCAAGCATCGAGCCAAAGCTCCATGCAACAGACGCATCAAGAATCATGGCAATTCGAAATGGACCGCTTGGGTCAGACGTTCTGGTGTTCAGCTGCCGCTGGTCTTTCCAATACGAATCAGGATATGGGGTTTGCATGTCAGACTACGCACCGTAAGTTCAAGACGGGTCTGCATCAACAAGTTCGACCAGAAGAATCACTCGACACTGCACCCGGCAGCATGGAATTGTTCACGCGAACCTACCGGAGGGATTCTAATTGCATCTGGCTGGCATCATCCGACATGCAAACGCTGGGACTGTTCGCTATCGACACCGACGATGCAGCATTCGCAATGTCTCAATGCTCCGGTGCAGATGAAGGTAAGATTCTGACGCAGCGTAGGTGTACGCAAAGCCGATGCCACTTAACCTCTAGACTGCACAGTTCGGAAAGATGCCGGCAGCAGAATAAGGAAAGAACAAGCTCCCGGCGCTGCGGTGATTCCAAACATCCGCACCTCAGGGCTCAAGGAGGAAGAGATTGGACTAAGTGGAACATCTGGCGAGAGCCTTCGTGTCCTCATAGTCCTGACAGGCTGGTGTGTGATGGCTCGAACTTGGACTTGCCGTCCCTCTATCGGTCCTTCTTTCTATCTTCTGGACCTTGGAGCCCAAAGCCCAGGCACGGCGGTCACTCAGAGCTATGGGCTTTCGATCTGGGAATCCGGCTCCTCCTCACTATCGTCTTCTTCAACCTCAGCACAGCACCACAAGGCGACCTTTCTTCTTTTTGCCTTCCGGGGGGGGCCCTTCTGAGGTCTGGGCCACTTCTTGTTCTCCTTACTTCTCTGCAGGCTGCGTTTCTGGAGCTCTGCGAGGTAGTCAGCCACTCCTGGACCCAGACAGGCTCAGAGTCAGAGGCGAGACAGGGAAGACAGGAGAGGGCGCCGCCTTCCTCCTCGCCTTCATCCTCCTAACGTCAGGAGCCGGTGATCCCTTCTATCCGGATCCAAAAATCTACGACGAGCTGCCGTCTATAGCACATGATGGCAGATGCCTCAGCCTCAGCGGCTTCTCGCGCTTGGCTGGCGCGGTGGGCCGCACGTGGAGCGGCCGGGGCATTTGCCAGACTCGGGAATCGTGCAACAACAGCATTGGTACAAGTCGATTTTGCCGATCGTTGCAGCGAGGCCGGGGCAGCTCATCAATGCTTCTTCCGATCTCCAGGTTTCCACCAGCACCTGGAAACGAAACAAACACCGGACTCGTCTAGAGTCTGGACTCTGAACACCCTAACCCTGGCTCGGGCTGTGTGTGTTAGCAAATTGTCCATTATAACGCTGTGGCCTTGAGGGGCGTTGCTACTAAATGCCTGCCATGGCAGACTGAAAAGCGAAGACTTCTGCCCAAGCCTTTACCATCGCGACTGAAAAGACATGTCAGACAAACAGCGACCTCTTGGGCCCGAGCCCGAGCTTGGCGTCTCCTTCTTCTTCGGAGCTGGGGCTTCTTGTGGCAGCTCCAGCCTCCGATCAGATCGGAAGACTCCAAAGGAAGCCTGGAGCTTGGGAGTCTCCGTGCTCGGTCTTCGGCTTCTCCAAGGCCTGACGGCAGGAACAGCTTCGGCCAGCGACAGCAGGAGAGAGGGGGCGCACCCCGTCGTAGCGGCGCTTCAGGACCTGCAGGACGGAACAATCCCAAGACAGGTCCAGATGAGCCCTAAGGTGCCTCTGCATCGGGGCTTTCTTTTTCGAACTTCTTGCGGTCTGTCTCCTGATCAATGTACCTGATTTCGCTGACATCACGAAATGCTGCAGCACATGCGGCACGACACCGACGTGGGCAAAAACACCCAAGCGAACTGACAGATGCTCTCTCACACAGGCGGGACACCACATTGCAGACAAGGCGAGATTCTTCGCATTTTCGGTCGAGACAGTGATGAGGTTGTCGGGCTGTGCAGGGCTGGAGTATGTGTGCATGCGGAGGATGCACTTCACATGATAGCACAGAGTGGCTCCCTGTAGCGCATGCCGCACTATTCACCATGTCTTGCAGCAAGGACTGCTTGACATGGCCTCGTCGCCCTCTTTAGCATTGATCGCCTTCAAACGATCCCGCATCTTCCTCGATCAAAGGATATGGAGGGAGCAGGCAAACGACTCACGGCACCCTTGGCACCCTCAAACTCGGGACTTTGCAACGTGAAGCCGTCGTCTCCAGGCTCGAGCTTTCGCGGCTGGCGTGAGCACATGGCGGAAGCAGACAGGAGCAACAAAGCGGGAGCGAGCACAAACCAGGTTCCGCCTTGTCTGTCCAGCGCTCCGGCCAGCCGAGGGCTTCAATTGAACACTGGGTAGTCTCAAGGTAGTTAAGGCGAGCGAGAGGGGCCTGGAACATCTGAACTTCAAATTTGCAGGTCCTAGGAACTGAAACTTTGCGGCAACAGGCAACAATTACGACTGCGAACAAAAGCTGCTGCTGCGACGCTTCCGACTGAACAGACTGCGAGGGTCTCTCCTCCCAAAAAAACGAAGACTCTTCCTACACCCTAAGGGACCCTACACCCTAATTTCCTCCTCTTCCTACTTCCGCTCCTCTGTGGGGGCTCAGAAGTCTCTTTCAAAGGCAGGGCGGAGGCGCCGGCTTCTTCTGCGGCATCTTGAAGACCAGAGGCTTCCAAGGCTCCTCTCAGTCATTTTGTTGAGCTGAGTCACAAGACAAGAGCGGCAGAGGATTCTGCGATTCGGCCTGTGCTGTTGCCTTCTTGGGTCCAGCCTGGGCCCGGGGGACGCAGGAACACAGGGAACACAGGATGCTGGCCTCACGGCTACAGGCGCCTGGCCTGAGCCTGTAGCAGGGTTACCGGCCTGCAGAAGTGCGAGCGAACAACACCAAATTCGTCCGCACTGCAAAGATGACATGGACATGGACAGGAGTGCAGTTGAGTGCCCTACCTCCTCCCCAGTGCAGCACGCACATGGGTGAAGGCCGTCGAGACGAGAAGTGTGCTCATGCACGCTACTAGAAGGCCTCAGTGCTGCAGATTGCTGTGAAATACAAGCAAGCTGAGCTCGCGATTAAAGCAACTCGACCGCCTGCTGTCCACTCCACACTCTTTCTCATGACACGCTGCTGAAAACAGGCACGCAGAGAAGTCGACAAAGTGCAGTGCAGCTCCGAAGCTACTGTCAAGCTCACTACTCCTCGTCGTACCTTGGATCTGCTGGCATTCACTCTCGAAGTAAACATGGACCCCATCAGAAGAAACGAAGACAATATTCTGAGCTTTGCATCGGTGCTGTGGGCTAATGCCGACACGACGGATGGCCCTTTCAGCCGCCCTCTTTGCATCCGAGCTGATGGAGTCCTTGGCCAGCTTCCAGGCTTTCTCGGCCTCATCTCGGGCAACCGCCGGCTCCTTCTTCCTGGAAGCTCTAAGATTTCGTGGCTTCAAACTTCAAGATCTTAGGGCTTAGGGGCTTAGGGGCTTGGGGTTTGGGGTTTGCGAATTTCCGCACCAAAACTCTGAAGTCTGAGCAGGTTTACAGATTGCGGACTCTGAGTCCTGAAGTGCAGCTCCGAGCTGAGGGACAGAGCCTTCGCCCCCTGGGACGGCTTAGGGTTCAGGGCTTGGAGTCTACGGCTTAGGGCACAGGGTTTAGGGCTTGGGGTTCAGGGTTTAGGGCTTGGGGTTCAGGGTTTAGGGCTAGAAATTCACGTCCAAAAACACAAACAGACAGTCGGGGAATGCATAGCGTTGCAGAACCTACGAACATACTCCTACACAGACGCATATGCATATGTACATAGATGCATCTTGAAGCATACACCGGCCGCAGGTGTCTAGTGTACCCCTTTGCTGCCAAGCATATCCTGAATTCCTGCCTTCAGCTCTAGCCATGCATTTGGTTCCTTCTGGAACTGATCGTGCCGGAAAGATGATGCAAAAGTTCCACGGTACATTCAGCAAGTGCATGCCGAGACGAGGTAAGCTGTAAACATTATCGGATTGCAATCCTCGAACCGGACCTCCCGGGGAGCACCCCTTGACCGAAACAGGCGAATCTTCGTGAGACTAGCAGAAAATCGAGCGATTTAGGTGTTCTTGCATACATACATACATACATACATACATACATACATACATCCATGCATACATGCATGCATGCATGCATGCATGCATGCATGCATACATACATACATACATACACACACATACATACATACATACATACATACATACATACATACATACATACATGCATTCATGCATACGTGCATACATCTGTGCCGGTATATTCGTTTGCTATGGCCAGTTTGTTTGCTGATATATTTACTGATCGGTATGTACTTCCACTCCTTAATGCCAGACACCGCAACCCAAAGCCCTAAACCGCAAAGCCTTCAAACCCACACAACCCTGAAAACCCACAACCGTAAAACCCTAAAGCCCTAGACTCTTCTGCTTCGGAAGCGCCGTGGTCTTGTCCCCGATCCGCTCGCTGAGCGAAGCGGCCTCGGCTGTGGCAGCCAGCGCCTGGTCCCACTTGCCCACGCCTGGGCTGTCCAAAGCCCAGGTTTGGGGTTTAGGGTTTAGGGTTTAGGGTTTAGGGTGGGGAGTATATAAATACACAAACCCTGAAGGGCCCTTCTGTTGAACTTAGGGCTTGAGGCCTGGGTTAGTAACAGTGCCTAGTGGCTTGCTTCGACCTCTGCGACCACGAAGAGCGTCTTGGCAATGACTGCCTCTGCCGATTGACGCGGAGTGTTCGAGCCAGGCTCGAGACTCTAGACCCAACACGATCCCACACCCCCATCTATGAGTTTATGCATAGTAGGCATATGACGCTCTCCTATTGATTCAATTTCATTTGGGTGCCTGTAGATTCCCCAGACTATGCCTGTTGGCCAAGGCTGAAACAGGAATGCAGGTCGACACGGCATTTGCAGTCTGGCGTCCTTGTCCTGTAGTCTGCGAGCCAAGAGAACACCATCTTTCGCAGGAGTCATGACCTTGCTCAAGCTCCGGAAGACAATCCTTGGCTTGCCCGTAGCTCGTGCACACGGACAAGACGTGTTGCCGATGAAGGGCAGGCAGGAAGGTGCAAAGCAAAAGGAGCATCCTAGCAGGGATCAGGATCACAAGATGCTGCCAAGTGTCTTCTGAGCCTCCTTCTCCTGCAATCCTTCCACCAGCTTACCAACGACTTGCGCCTGCATCTGAGCTTCCCAGCTGAGCATCTCGGTCAGCGCATACCTGTCTCCAGCCTGACTTTGAAAAGGAGAAGACACTGGCCAACTATCCGGTAGGTGGGTAACGGCACCCCACAACCTGGCAAACACCAGGACCCGGCCTTCTTACAAAAGACAACTGCTTCGCTGGCGTTTCTTGCAGCTTCCTCGGGCTTGTCCTGCTCGCAACATGAGTTGCCCACCTTTTTCACAGCCTTGGCGACCTGCTTCGGCTCACCAGCTTGCCGGAACATCTTCTCAGCTTGGCAAGCTTCCGCTTCCGCCTCTTCCGGCTCTTGTCGTGAAAGGTAGATGTCCGACAACGCCAAATGAGCACTCGCCATTCCAATCTCATCCCCAACGTCACTGAAAGCGGTCATCGCATCATTTGCCAGTTGGAACGCATCACGGTTGAATCGACGAGCGCGGCTATCGACACGAACAAGCTGCTCGCGCGTTAGAACCTCAGCGAGCTCCAGCATGGCCTGTGCCTCACGGCTTCTGGCACCCACATCGCGAAACAGTTGGCGCCGGTCCTTGAGGATTTCAGCGGCCTTGCTGTCATCCCCCAAATGGATGAAGCACGTTGCCAAGGAGGGTAAACACTCTGCTTCAAGATACTTGTCACCCAAAATTTGCAGCTGCCGTCTCGCCTGCCTGCAAGCAGGCCCAGTGCTGGCTGCCGGATGTCGCAAGTAACTACAAAAGACTTAGAGAGAAACGCATCCCCCAAGCAACCTTCGAAGACTCCAGCCCAGTGAAGCAATCAAAATCGACGACAAATCGACAAAGCAAGACCAGTGCACAACCAAAGGGCAACTATTGAACAAACACACCCACACACACACACACATTCACACCCACACCCTCGGCTGACATGCAGAGCAAACTGTCCAGCTTGCAGGCAGGACGCTCCGCCCAATCGCGAGCAGATTCCACTTGCTTCCTGGTTTTCCGAGCCAAGTGCAGGCTGGAAACGAGCTGAAATTCTCTGCCCAGCCATTCTGCCGCACACAAAGTCCGAAGCGAGGTGAGCGTCTTGTCGGCGATAATCTGAGCCTACTCCAGGAGCAATGAGTGGTACTTCTAACAGCTGACAACTATGTGATGTCTGTACAGGCTGTGAGTGGGCAAGCTTCCTGTCTGCAGCTAGAAGACATTGCTTAGCCGTGGCGATTTAGGAGAATCCCGGGACGACACGTCCATTACCCTCAACGAACCGACGTGGGCCTTCGCACGATCTGGTTCTGACATCATCTCACGAAGAGTTTCCAGCATGATGTCGCGCACGATGAGACAAGGTCGCAGGGCTCCCATTCTTCTGCAGTTCTTAGCATGCTCGCGAACGGCCTCCAGCGCCGTCTGGCGGGAGCTTTCCGACAAAAGCGCTTTGACTTGAACTGCCAAGCTGTATTCGGCCCATCCGTGCCAGCATCCATGTTCCAAAAATAGGGAGCAAGCCTCTGCTGCAGCAGCTGCAGCATCACGTGGTCTGCCTCCTTTCTCGTGAGAACTCAAAGCCAGCAGGTACAGCAGTGCAGAAAGAAGCCTCGAATCTCCTACCTCCTGAGCCAAGGGCAAGGCCTCTTTGACGATTGAAATAACTTCGAAGTGCCTTCGCTGAAGCTGCGCTGCAGCGGCCAGAATGAAGAGAGAGTTGCACTCACCATGTCGGCTTCTCAGCGCACGAAACGTCTGCAGTGCTTCAAGACCAAACGACTTCCCCAAGTGGATCTCATGTCGCTTCAAATGTACACGGGCGAGGAACACACAGGTCAAAGCCAACCCTGTGTCCTCGCCTCTTCGCCGGAAGAGTCGTTTCGCGTCCTGCAGACATCGCACAAATGAGTGGCAGAACCAAACTGACAGTGAAACTTTGACGAGAGATGGGAAAAAATGTCCTCACCAGCCTGTAGAGCACCCGCAAGAGATTGCTTTCTATCACACATGATCTCTGCCCGAGACAACGAAAGCACCATTTTGGGAATGTCGTTGCCATGAAGCTCAGCACGTGCAATTTCTTCGTCCACAAACTCTGTGGCGACGTCTAAAAAATGCTCGCGGCAGCCTCCCTCAAGACCGACGCGACCACAGGGCAGTGCAAAGGCTTGCGCTCGCAGTGCGTGTACAAAAAGTCTTGCACTAAAAGCCGCAGACAAAACGTCTCCAGACACGTTGAATAACAGATAGGATTCAACCGCAGCTTGTTCTGCATCCAGAAGGTCGTCGGTGCTTTTCGCGGTCATCAAAGCACGCTCTGCAACAGAGAACAGGAAAGCAGCCGCTCTCCGACTGCCAGAAATGTCCTGTGCATCGGCAAGACTAGAGAAAGACTCTGCCAGTCCATCAAGCAGCGTACCGGCCGCATCCAGCAAATGGAACCCGGGCGGTGTTATGTAGGTGGTCACATCCATTCTTTCGGCGGCATTTCTGTTGAAAACCTATCTGCTACCAAGGTGTCCATTGAACCAATTCTGCAAACCCAAAGCACTGCCAGAGAATCATTGATTATTTGTCAACTAAGGTTGACTCGGACTTTTGCTGCGAGTTCGGCTGGCTGTTAATTAACGTGGAAGCTCAGCCGACAACCCATTCGACAACATCGCCAGCAACAGGCGCTGCGCCTTCGCAGACGACAGCACATATGCAGCAGACACACACACACACACCCACACATGTTGAGTCAAACATACGCCCCGGTGCCTCGCTGGCCACAAAGAGGGCTGCGATGTACGTTGCAACATGTGTGAGTCAGCGATACAGTTGATACACAGTCCAACCGAATGATGACCGTGGCTTGCTGGAAGTGTGGCAAGTCGAATGGTGAGGCTACAACACTGTCAATTTGAGCCACATGTTGTCCGACCGTTCAAGCGCGCGGCAGGAAATCGGCAGAAGTCGGAATGCAGCAAAAAAATGTGTTGCTGAACACCAAGTCGACATGACAGGAAAAGCCGTGTGGCTGTATCTGGCCGTTAGCTACCACAACCTGCTTTTGCTTAGGTTCCTGATGTGCAACTTAATATGGAAATAATAACCTACCAACAAAGAGCCGAAATACACATTCGGAGACTGCAACAGATCCAATACAAACGTTTGAACCTCAGTTGGACACGGTCTACCTAAAACGAACTGAGGTCGGCCAGAAGTCAAAATGCATCTAGCTGGCTTGAGCACGGAAGGCCCAAACACCAACTCAGGCCTTTTTCAGCCGCGAGAATCCACGCAGGACATGGCAAAGCAAAAAGCAAAGGGCCGGACGGCCAGAGTCGCTCAAGGTCCGCACAAATCTTCGATAATGTTTGGAAACGAATGAAGTTCACCCGACAAGCAAGTGACTGGTCTGACTGGTATTACTGGTATTGCCCACATGGATTCAGGAAATGCACAC